AGCCTATGTTTGAGAGATAAAATTGGATGAATCTAGAGCCTCAGGGAATGGGTATAATAAGAGTACTCAGTTACTTCTTCCCTACCCAATTAGTATGTTTTAGGATTCGTTCCTATTCAAATCCTAAACTTCTTTTCTTAGGCTGCCAGAGCCTCTGAGCTTTGTGATGGACGATAAAATATGAACTATGACAGATGTTTTCACCTTCATGAAGCAGGGGGACATTAATGAAATGTGTTTAATGCAGGTTATTCTGATGTTGGTCCTATGTTTGACACTGCATAAATGATTCTAAATTGCAGTTAAATTCTCACATAAATTGCATGCTGATTTATTTGCTGAATGCAGGAATGTCCTTACTCATAAGAAAAGTGATACCTGAAGATCAGCCCAGGGTGTGGATTTGTGGTTTTGTTTATGACTTTTACCCAAATCTCAAACTTTTGAGGTCATCTTCCATGTTACAGTCACTAAGTATTGAATCACCTTTATTTATTTTTCACTTTTAAAACTCGCTTTCCTAATATCTAAAATCCACCTTTTATTAAATTCAAAATTTATTTCATTTACTATCACAAGTATTTGTGATGCACACTCAAGATTTGCAACGTTCTACATTAACAAGCAGTTATTTTCTGCTCCTGAGATGAAATCTAGAAGCTACATAACTTTGAATAGCCCAGATAGTCAATAAATTAAGCAGTACATTCCTCCAACACACTGCTTTTCATTTTCATAATTGGAATTATAAGTACCATAGTGGTAAGAAACTGGACTCCATAAACTCCTAGCTGTTCCTGTGTCCATATCATTTAAGCTGTATGGACTCTTCAACTTTATGATTTTTAACTTGTGAGTCTCACTACTTACAAAGTACTAGGGCTAGAACATATAATAGGGTTTAAAACATAAAAAAAGATTCTATAATGACAGCTCCAGATCATATTCTATTGATTAAAGGACATATCTATTTTACCCTTCATCATCTCTTACAGTGGATGCATCTTAAAACCACTGCAGCCAAGCAGCAGTTACAACATTGTTGTCCTTGATAATACATGTGAATTTCATTGTTATTCTCCATGGCATTAGCCAAGTCTATGGTACTAGTATTTCTGCCCAAAACAAATAAACAAAAACAACTAAGGACTATTGAGAATGGGAAATAAACCTGTCCTCAATTGCTTGCTTAAACTTTTCATTGACATCTTCTGGTGCCATTACCAATGCAACAGCATGAAAACTTAGAGATGGATACCAGTATTCTGAAAGAAATACTGCAGGGGAGCTCTTTTTAAAAGAAATCCTGCATCATCAACAGTTTTGATGCCACAGAGATAATACTGTTAGGAAAACACAAACTTTGATGGGTGTGTTAAACAGTGACTCGAAAGATTTGGACTGTGAAGATAAAGAACTTTTAGGAATACCTCCTCTTTTAATGTATGACAAAGAGCGAATTTCTTAAAAGCTATGTAAATAAGTCATGCAAAGTTATTTCAGTAAGCATACAATAAAAATTAGAGTTGATAAAAACATTGTATATAGTTTAATTTCTCTTTCTTTGGCACACATATAGTGAAGTATATTTCACAGCCAATGACATCTTAGATTTCAAAAAATACAATATTACCATTACTGTATGGCTTTCCCAGAAATGCTATGGAAGATCAGTAAGCATTAATTGATTTTAAAACTTGTTTCTAATCACCCTACAGCCTAATATATTAAAATAAGCAGAACTTTAAAATCTGTAATTAAGACTTTCAATCTGGGGGATAACCTTTGAAAACACACTTGGTTTTCTCCATCCACAGAGTCTTAATGCCCCTGGTTCCCCTGGTCAGCAATCACATAGGCTTCTCCGGAAAACAGTGGCCTCTCTCTCTCTTTGAGGTCCTCCATAGTCCCCCCAAACAGAGTTCATGTACACACATAGTTTATGTTTGAAGCCACACCACACCACACCAAATGAAGTAAGGTTAATAGGTAATTTGCCTTAGCAGTGTGCTGGTCATATGCTTTGTGCTATAGATAAGTAACAGATGTCATTGTTATTGTTAATTTCAAGAAACAGGAAATGATAAAGTCTCTGGTGGCACCATATCTAATCTGCTAACGTTGTTCACTTTTATAGGTGGAACTCACTGTCCAAATACAAGTGCTTTGCAAGAGGTGCGCAGCTGTAACGAGCATCCCTGTACTGTGTATCACTGGCAAACGGGTCCGTGGGGCCAGTGCATTGAGGACACCTCAGTCTCATCCTTCAACACAACTACAACTTGGAACAGGGAGGCCTCTTGCTCTGTTGGCATGCAGACAAGAAAAGTCATCTGTGTGCGGGTCAATGTGGGCCAAGTGGGACCCAAAAAGTAAGGGCTTTAGAATGTCAACAGTAAATCCTGTGGCCGGCCAAGCAGGGGATTGGCTCAGGCTTCACTTGCCTCATGAAATGGAACATTTTGATGCTTGTCATACCTGTCCTCAAGAGTAAGATTTGTTTGTTTGGAATGTCGGCCACTGATAAAGCCTCAGAGCCTTGTGCCTGGGATCCATAAATTCTGTAGAAATCTTTCTGTGTGATACCTGCTTTCAGTTTTATGATAGCACTTTCTGCTTTTATTAAGCTAGTGAGGCAATGAAAGAAGTGCTTGCTCTAGGCCTGACTGATCAATAATGACAGGATACGAAGTCCTAGCAGTGTAGGTCATCCCTGACTCCCTATACACCGGTAGGCTACGGAGACTGCCAATCTAGTTTAATTGGGTGGTAGCCTTCTATGATCTGCCTTTCATTTCCCCTAGGAAATATATTAAAAAATAGTGAGACTGAACTTATTATGTCTTTTAATCATTCAATGAATAAGCTGTTTACATCCAAGAGAGAGCCTTGGGAGAGGATGTTTTATGATAAGTGGGAAAACCACCAGTTTCTTACTGTGGTTACCAATAGTGTAATAACAAGGCGAACAATTTGCTAGAGAGGGGGGACAAAAAACTAAAGAATTGGTATATTATATGTGCCTTGTGAGAAATATAAACAAAAATGAGTCATGACACAACTGGGCTAATCATTCTTAGAGAAAATTAATAAATCAATTCTAAAATTATAATCTTTTCAAGGGTAACTTTATCTTTTGAGATTTAGACAGCATAGGTCTTTTAAAATTCAAATTACCTTAGTCATGTGAAACATTAGAAGTAAAACCAGTCAAGTTTGTTTTAGTATACAGATGGCCTTATAATTTCCAAATTTCATAATTGGTCAACTGCTTAAATATTAACTGATTGTGGCCTGTTTTCAGAGTTTACTGAAAGGATTTAATGGGGGGAAAATAATAGCAATGTGAGCACTTAATAAATCTTAGAAATTATTTTCTTTTAAAAATTTGAGCTACTTTTTAGTGTTTCAGGGAAATGAAAATAATGTACTTGATATATGAAAAAACCCAAGGAATTTTAAGGATCCCCTTATGAGTTTATTTTACCTGGCCAGCATTCCACACATTAGGGATATTTTGCCCCATATTTTGTTTACGTAGTTTGAAATTAGAAAACATATGGCAAAAAGAATTGACTAAATTGAGAAATTATTTCACATGCTTAACAGGTAGCTCCAAACCAATATTTTAACCAGTTAACTACCACACGTCCAAAACAGAAACCATCCCGCTTGCGTCCATAGATGCTTATGGCTTACAAAGGATTAATAGAAATTAGGCTAAAATTGTGATGAATCTATCAAAGGAAAATAATGTACAGTGTATTAAAATTCAATAGCAGTAACAGCAGGGGAAGGAACCTTAAGTCCTGGAGGATTCTGGGTCTTGCTGGGACAAGCACAGAGGTGGAAATACTCACTGCAGAGGAGTCTAACCTGACCTGCCTGTCATGACACAGGATAGAGAGTTACTGTGCTGTACTTCTACGAGTAAACTCACTCTGTTCCTATTTTACAGTTAATCGCCTTTCAAATGTTGCTATTGATGGTTTCCTCACTTATGCAAAGTACAAAATATTTTTCTGAACAATGGGTGTGCATGTGTACAGCATGTGTGTGAAAAAGCCCTCTGGATTCATGTCATTAAATCGTTCAGTAGGGAGGGGATCCCCATGCCGGGCCACAATAATCCATTAAACATGCGCTTTGCCCTTGCAGCCATATGCAGTGACCTGGATACATGGATAGATTTGTTAAGTCAAATGGATTTACTTTGCCCTTAAAGTTCTGAAGAAGTAAGCAAATACTGTAAATTCAAAAGAAAATGTTACTGCCCTTATGCCTAAATCTAGATTAAATTCCACAAACGCTTTTCAGTACTAGGCATTTGCAACAGAAATGCAAATAAAAACCTTGTTTTAAACTCTTAATAAAACAGATTACTGTGCAATAGTAAAATCAATGTTATTGATCTTACCTCTCCTCTGAGTAACAAACTTCAACTCCTATCACATCTGTTTAATTTGACCTTGAATAAGATTTGGGGGGAAATCAATTCCCTGATTTAAACCACAAAGACTAAATGCAAACAGTACAAAAGAGAAAAGAAGCATGTTCACTGAACCAATTGCCTCGCCAAAGGAAGTCTGAATTTATTTTATTGCATGTAACCTAGGTTGTATAATTTATCTTTGTATGTTCATTTAATGGGTTTGTTGTTAGTAATTTTGTTCTCCACAGTTAGCCAAGTATCTTGCTGTGGATATTTCCAAACAAAAGCAAAATTTTGGAGGTTGTCGATGATAACACTATAAATTCCACTGATTTTCAAGGCTAACGTTTAAGAGCATGCAATTGAGTAATGCTCTCCCGTGGTCTACGTTATAAAATTGCCTCATTGAAAAAGTGTGCTTCCAATGATAATTACTAATCAATAATTTCATAGTTCTGAAGAATGAACAGGATTATATGTGGAGTTTTGCCATATAATGTTTCCTAGTTAAGAATGAAGGTTAAATTATAATTCCAATGATTTATAGTCTCAATTGTATCAATACTTTAACTTCTGTGATTCACAGCTAAATCTCTTTGTCATACACTGACTTTGAATAGAAATCATAATTAGAAAAACACAAGCTTATTCTTAACATAAACCAGGGAGATTTATTTCTTTTTCAAATGTTGAATCTGGTGTGAGAGAGGAAAACATGTATCTGAATAATTGAATGGAACATAAATTATTATAAGATGTATAAAAAATGAAGCATCAGTAAGGTGCTAGAAATAAATTATGGGAAAGAGATTAATGATTTTTTTCACTCATAGTTCAGTTCTGAAAACCTGATTAACTTACTTGTTAAAACACAATCTATCTTGACCTATAAAAAAAATTTGGCTTCTCCCATGGGGAATATTTTTAAATCCCATATTTCACTAATTTCCCAAGTTATTTCATCAACAGTTTTACTGGTTGTTTGGTTTATTTCTTCAGTGCTTCTTAGCTTATTTATTAATGATTTATATGACCTTAAAAGAGTTTTTTCTGGGTATCATAACTTGAAGTTACTTTTAGTTACATGAATTATGCGATTATATTCTGTTGCCCTAAATTACATCTTCTTCTAATGGTAATGCTCACAGCCAACATTTGACTATTAGTAATAGTAGAGTCAGATTGTAAAGATGCAGACAAGGCTTGGGAAATTTAAAAATCACCAAGTAAGTACACAATAAATAAGACAGTATATTTAAAACATATATCAGCTCCAAAAATATTTCTTTCCAAAATATATTGTAACATATAAAAATATTTAAAGATTTTTCATTTATTCCTCACCCAAGGACATGCTATTATTGGTTTTAGAGAGAGTGGAAAGGAGAGGGAGACAGAGAGAGCGGAACATTGATCAGTTGCCTCCGGCACACGCCCTGATGGGGGATTGAACCACAACTAGGGCACGTGCTCTGACTGGAGATTGAACCGTGTCCTTTATCTGTATGGGATGATCCTCCAAACAGCTAAGTCACACCAAATATTTAATGTTTTGGCTAGTCAAAAATATTTAAAATTCCATCATCTGAAACTAAAAAAGTAATGGAAGAAAAAGGATATTAAATGAAAGTAGGAATGACACAAAAACTATTTATCATAATAACTTATACACTTTTATTATTTTATTGTTTATTATGAAATATATAGCTGTAAATACAACTTTTTTTTTTTAGCATGTACTGGGTATAAAATAGGCTCCATTATAAATTTGTCATGCTATACATTTTTGAAAAAGTGAAGTGCAGAATAACCTGAAAATTTATAATTGACAATAAGCCTAGTTAGTTACGCAAAGATGTAAAATTGGGTTCCTAAATTGGTAATTTGAATTTCCACAAATTTTGTAAAAGCATGTTAGGAAATATAAATTTATTAATGGGTAGATTATTATAAAGGAGTATGGTATAATTATTACATTTTGTCCTAGATAACAGAATTACTATTATTAAAATCACACATCTTGTTTTGAGAAGCTTTATTGAGGCCTGGTTTGGAAGAATGTAGTTGTATAGTTCTTGTCAAAAGCAATGCTCCCAGAAATTAAGACTGGTGATGATTTAGCAACTTTACAATGAAAATTCTAACCATATTAAATTACCTGGTTTGCAGGATTACTGTAGAGACTTAGTGATTTCCTTTTGTTTTTTCCAGGTGTCCTGAAAGTCTTCGGCCTGAAACAGTGAGGCCCTGTCTGCTTCCTTGTAGGAAGGACTGTATCGTGACCCCATACAGCGACTGGACCACTTGCCCTTCCTCGTGTACAGAAGGTATGATCTGCAGGGTTCTGGAGGTTCTTCCCCTAGAAGACCACTTGCCAGCACCTCTGAGTTCTGACTGAACGTTTGTGATTCTTACATGGGTTGTATAATCCTGGTTCAGCATGAATTCCATAAAATGTTGGTTTCTGTCTAGAAAATAATATAGCTTTACCAAACGAATGAGTTTTATGTCAAAACTGACTTAAAACTTTACAATATAAGTAAAAGTGAAAGTGAATTCTAGGTGTTATTATATTAACAATGTTTCCTTTAACATCTATACTAATAAAAGGGTAATATGCTAATTAGACCGAGTTGACCAGATATCCTCCGGACTTCCTTCCGGACAAAGGCCAAGGCAGAGCTGGTTAGGGGCGATCAGGCCAGCAGGGGAGCAAGCAGTTAGGGGCGATCAGACTGGTGGGGGAGCAAGCATTTAGGGGCTAGATCAGGATGGCAGGAGACAAAGCAGATAGGGGGGATCAGGCTGGCAGGGGAGCAAGCAGTTAGAGGCACGATGAGGCCAGAGAGGGGGAGCCAGCAGTTAGGGGGCAATCAGGCAGCCAGGGGAGGGCAGCTGAGGGCCATCAGGCATGCAGAGGAGGAGGCCAGAGGCATGTGATCAGCCTGAACAGAGGGGCAGGAGGTGGGAGGGGGGCTCATGATCACCAGGAAGTGGGCAGGTGAATAGTGGGATGGGGCAGTTGATTATGCAGTAGATGTTCCCCGAGGATGGAAGAGGGCCCACATGAAGATTGAAGGGACGTGGCCAGGAGCCCCCAGAAGCTGAAGAGGTAGGAAGGACCCTCCCCTGAAGCCCTTGGAGAGAGCACAGCCCCAGACACCCTGATTTCAGATTCTGGACCCAGAACTGGGAGAGCCTGAGTTCCTGTTTGTTTAAGCCAGTCTGTATTCATCTGAGCAACAGCCTTTGCCCCCTCTTTGACCCTCCTTTTGGGGCTTGTCTGGGTTCCTGGGACAGCAGGGGCTCACAGGGAGATTCATCCCTGTGTCTATGCCTTGACCCTGTCTCTCACACCCCCATGCCCCCCGGGGCTCCTCGGCAGTAACAGTTCAGTGGGCACACCAGGGCAGGATGCTTGGTGGGAACTGTGGTTGACTTGGCACAGGGACTCCTCCACTTGCCGAGCCCCAGACTGTAGGATGATGCAAGGTACTCCAAAGCCCCGCCCTTAACTCCCAGGCCTTTCCCCTAATGAGGTCAGCCTGGAGCTCTACTTCCTGAAGCACCCGGGTTGATTGGAGCCAGCAACTGGGTTCCATGCCCAGATTCTAGATGCCAAAACTGGCTCAGAGAGGGAGAGCAGAGGACCCTAGCCTTGTCCCACCTCCCAGTCAACTCAGCCCAGCTGACAGGTGGCTCCACCAGCTGCCAGGGATGTGGGGCCACATGATCAGACCACATGGGCACCTGACAAGGGGGCAGGGGCAAGTGAGCAGCCGGAAGTGGGCCTATCCTGAGGTGGGCAGGTGAACAGGATTCGGGGCTTATGATCAGCTGGTAGTGGTTACAGCTGGAAGTGGGCTTGGGAACTTGGGGACGGGACTGTGATCAGCCAGAAGTGGGCACAGCTGGAGGTGGACACTTGACCAGTGGGGCGGGCCATGAGTTCTGCCAGAAGTGGGCACACTCAGAAGTGGGCACCTGAACAGGTGGGTAGGGGCATGTGGCCAGCCAAAAGTGGGCACCTGAATGGAGAGGCGGGGGCTCTTGATCACCAGGGAGTGGGCATGGGAACATGGTGCCTGGGCTGTGATCAGGCAGAATTGATCACAGCTAGAGGTGAGCATGTGAACCCGGGGGCAGGGCCACATGTTCTGTTGGAAATAGGCACAGCCAAATGTGGGCACCTGAACAGGGGGGGGATGGGCATGTGAGCAGCTGGAAGTGGGCGTAGCCGGAAGTGGGCACCTGAACAGGGGAGTAGAGGAATGTAAGCAGCTGAAAGTGGGCACAGCTGGAAGTAGGCACCTGAACAGGGGGCCAGGGGCATGTGATCAGCTGTTATTGGGCACCTGAAGAGAGGGAGCGGGCTCCTGATTATCAGGAAGTGTGCGGGTGAACAGTGGGGTGGGGGCATGTGATTATGTGAGATATTTTCTGCATAATCAGATTTAGGAAGGACCCTTCCCTGAAGACCTTGAAGGGAGCATAGCCCCAGACACCCTGATTTCAGATTCTGGACCCAGGTCGGCAGGTAAATTGGTAATCAGGCCAGCAGGGGAGGGCAGTTGGGCATGATCAGGCTGGCAGGGGAGTGGTTAGGTGGTGATCAGGCCAGCAGGGAAGTGGTTAGGGGGCAATCAGACAGGCAGGCAGAAGCAGTTAGGAGTGATTAGGCAGGTGTGCAGGTGCACAGTTAGGAGCCAGTGGTCCTGGATTGTGAGAGGGATGTCCGACTGCCGGTTTAGGCCCAATTCCTGTCTAACCTGGCAGTCAGACATCCTGCGAGGGATCCTGGATTGGAGAGGCTGCAGGCTAGGCTGAGAGACCCTTTACCCCCGTGCATGAATTTCGTGCACTGGGCCTCTAGTTAATTATAAAAGAATGTATAGTGGCCTTGTATATTTCAAAAAGAGTATACAGTGTTCTTATCAGTACTCATAGTTTTCAAGCCACTTATCGCAAGACATAGCATGGCCCCAGGTAGTTTCAATTTACATTTAGATTCAATTATACAATCCCAAAGGAATAAAAGAGAGAGAACCAATGGCTGCAGTGAGGGAAGGATTAGAGGGTGGAAAAGAATGAGAAATTGAAAATCCGGGTATATATGTAGATAGTGCTGTGGGTCCAGGTGATGATAAAAGGCATTTGGGGGGTCGAGGTGGGGGTAGAGCTAGTTTCTTGTGAGTTACAGGCATGCAAGATGTAATGGGTTTAGTTGCCATGGTCTCTGGGGGGGTGGGCAGGTAGCTTCTCTAAATAAAGATGCATGTTTCCACTATGATACCATTCTCCCCTGGAGATCCCGGGGTGGTGGTGATCAGGAGGACAGGAATGC